AGGGGAAGCATCAGTAATATAAAAAATATATAACTAAATTAACTCACCTTTATCTCATAGTCAGGCTAAAAACCACACAATTCCCTAATATTACCCAGCCCAAAGCCAAGCTGCATCGAAATACCTTTCTTGTTGCCATTCTAAAATTTCAAGTGGTTCTGCAAAATTACCTTTGCATCTATAAATTTGGTTGAAATGAGAACAATTAAGGAAAAAATGCCTTAAAATGAGCATCCAGAATTGGGGATTAATATAAAAAATGAGAGATGTGTACATCAAAGCACTCTGCATACTAAATACTTTTGTAATATGCACCCACCACAGTCCAGTGGTGCCAGACAGACTCCAGAGCCACAGCAATGAAGCTTCTAGATCCCTTTCTCCTCACTGCATCAATGCCTTCATCTCAGGACCAGAGCAGATGCTAAATCCCAATGACCTAATCTTAGTCTTAGGGCATTTTCTTCATTCTTTACAAAGGGGGAGAAAATGGAAAACAATAACTGCTTGAAAAGACAATTTAAAAAATAAGGTCAATTTTCCCATTCATTCCTAATTCCTGGGATAAATTTTCTGGTAAAGAATGACTGATCTGACTTAAGGTTCTGACTTAAGCTGGTTTTATTTATTTACTTATTTATTTATAAAGATTCTATTTATTCATTTGACAGAGAGAGACACAGCGAGAGAGGGAACACAAGCAGGGGGAGTGGGAGAGGGAGAAGCAGGCTTCCCGCGGAGCAGGGAGCCCGATGCGGGGCTCGATCCCAGGACCCTGGGACCATGACCTGAGCCAAAGGCAGACGCTTAACTGAGCCACCCAGGTGCCCCTTAAGCTGGTTTTAATACGTTTTTCTGTTCTACATTTTGCCATAGAATAAAGGAGAGAGACCCACTGTTGAAGATCTCAAAACTAGCAAACATTCTGAGGCTAAGATAATAGTAATGTACAATGTATATTTTGGCTATTTAAACTGATTTAGAAATAAATAGCTATTTTCTTATTTTACCGTGAATATGTTTAGTTAAGATGCTTAAATTCTCTGCCAACAGTGCTCACCTCTGTGATGTTGGGGGTGAGGGTATAGAAAAAGGGGAGGCATAGTCACTTTTTACATTGGTGTATTTCTTTCTTCTTTCATTTGTTTAAAGATTTTATTTATTTATTTATTTATTTATTTATTCATGAGAGAGTGCACGTGCATGGGGGGTGGAACAGGGAGAGGGACAAGCAGACTCCCTGCTGAGTGCAGAGGCCAATGCAGCGTTCCATTTGGGGTTCAGTCTCAGCACCCTGAGATCATGACCTGAGCCAAAACCAAGAGTCAGACATTTAGCTTACTGAGCCACCCAGGCGCTCCACACCGGTGTATTTCTTGAAGTCTGTTATTCTACCAAGTATTTGCTCTATGTGCAATTTAAAAATTATTCTGCATCTATCTAGGAACTTGGCTAAAAAACTTAACAGGGCCATTTTTCCTGGTGATCTGAATATTTAAAATTCTTATTCAGGATTATCATAGTCTACATGAAGTAGAAAAGTGATTCTAGAATTTCCCTGATATAAATTCATATTTGTTTGTAACCCTCTCATAAATCACGTACGTAGCTTATGGCATAGACTGTGGTAATGGTTTCACGAATATATACTTCCCTCCAAATTCATCCAGTTGTGTATGTTAAATATGTACAGATTTCTGTACGTGCACTGTACCGCAGTAAAGTGGGTTACAGAAATCCCACACCCAGGTTCAGGTGTCATTATAAGATTAGAATGCACCAGGCTAAATCTTTTGTCACTACACTCTGCAATTTTCCAGACAGGTTCTGGCAATTGCAAACAAACCATCTGATGGGAGCACAAGCCTGCGTTACAGGTTTGGACAGCTTTTGAAAACTCTCACAGTTTTTTTTTGTTTCCTCACCTGTTGTTTTAAAACCTTGATTTCAGCCTTTTTTGGGGGGATTTTTTTTTCAGACTAAAGCCTCCTGACTGGCACTGAAAGCATGGGGTCCCCACTTTGTTTTACCCAATACATCAGACCCTAAAAATAGGGAGAAAAATTAATAGACAAATGTAAATTAAGGTACTGTTCCATGGAGAAACAGCTGACCTCTCCATGATCACATCCTGCACCCTCCTTAAAAAGACCCAGTAGATTCCACAGCCTTTTTTTTCAGTCATAAGATTATCTCACTAATGTTTATGGCAAATCCTCTCAGCAGATGCCTCGTAATATGCTCAGTATTGGGCTGAAGAAAGAAAGTGACAGTGACCTTTTGAGAACCTGTCACCACACCACTACATCATATATGATAAAAGCAGTGATACTGACTTTCTCCCCTCTAAGTATTAGCCCCAATCTATCTGAAGAAGGGTACAAAGGTAACCTCCTGAGGTCTGTGCTAATACCATCATTCTTTGATTCTATCAGACCGAAGTCTCTATAGATGTTTGACTGGTACATATAAAATCTAGTGAATTAGTGCCTCAAAAAAAAAAAAAAAAAAGCCAATGAATTTCCCCCCCTTCCATTGATACTTATTGGCCTCCTGTTTCAACCTGACCTAGTGTTTCAGCTTCCCCCCCACCCCACCCCCACCCCCGCGGTGCCACGCTTGCGCAGGACTGACTGCAAGAGGAAGTGGGTAAAGCTACCTGCAGCTAGAAGTGACTAGCTTGACGGAGGGAGGGAGGTACTTGGGAAGTGTCAGGCCCCACTCAGCTCCCCCCAGGGCCGACAGGATCAGTACCTTGGAGCTAACACAGCTCATTCCTAGCACACTGGTGTGGAAGAGCAGTCTAGCCCTTCAACCCTGCATGTCAGGTCTGGGAAGCAAGTAAGCAACATTACAATCAGCCAACCCTGCTGCACTGTTTCCCTCAAGTCAGTCACCGGCTGTGTGTGTGTGTGTACCAGCTTTAAAGCATGAGAGAGAGAGAGAGAGAGGGAGTGTGTATGTGTGTGTGTGTGTTGTGGGGGTGGCGTGGGTGTTCTGAGGGAATTCTACCTTCTCCTTCTGCTTCCATACTCATTTAGCAAGACCTCTTTTTTTTTTTTTTAGTATCAAATTAAGGGAAAGTGCCATGAAGCATAGCAGATCAAACAGCTTCTGTCCTCAAGAAAACCTTTGTCCTATAGGGGAAATAAGACATTTGCACAAATATACATTTGTTGAATGAATAAAAGAATGACTGCAGCATGAGGTAAGAAGTAACACTTTCCAGAGAAGCAGTATAAATAAACTGCTATGAGAATGGGGCAGGAAAAGCTTCCCTCTGGACAGGTTAAAGGAATCCTGAGAGAAGAAAGCACTGACACCAAATCTTGCAAGAGTACTGTGTGGGACTCAGATGTCCACCAGGTATCCCCAGCAGGGCCAAGGAAAGGGAGTAAAATATCTGGCCATTTAAAAGGTACAGTTTGTGGGGCACCTGGCTGGCTCAGTCGGTGGAGCGTGAGACTCTTGATTTCGGGGTTCTGAGTTTGAGCCCCACACTGGGTGTAGAGTTAACTTAAAATCTTTAAAAAATATATACAGTTTGTAAGCAAAGCTCTGCTAAAAAGAGATGTGGTGTGGGGTTGGGGAACATGGGAAAGAGAAGATTGGGATTAATAATGAAAATGAAATTGTACAAAAGTTCTATGATGGGTTTTTATTACTTTCCTCACTCCTCCTTGTATCAGCTAATGGAGGGCCTGAAGAACTGTGAAAAACTTTAAAAACAACCCACTCCATCTACAGAAAAGACCTTCTGGGTCACAAGCCAGTCCCTCCATCACCCTTGAACTGTCCGCTTAGACATTTCCCTTTCCCAGAGGAATTCCGTGGCTTAGGAAGCTTCGGCTTATTACCGATGTCCAGAGCTTAGAAGCAGTGCTCTACCTTACAGAATCCTATAACCTGCTTTAGCTAACTCCAGTTCCCTATTCCCCAGTCAAGTGGGCAGAAAGAGAGCTGGCCTTCCCATGCCTTATTCCTCCAAATGCTTGAGAAATTCACACGGTCGTTCTCTGTTTCTGAAACCGACAGGGTTTAAAAGTCGCGGTTGGAAAGCTGCACCCGTACAATGCCATCTTTTCTTGAAAGAGAAAGTCATTTGTCCGGTCATTCCCACCTATTTCAGGAGGGTAAGGAACTTCTGCCTCACGGTGTTCTCAGATGGGAGGTGAAAGCAAAGTAACAAGAACCCTGCTGGGGAACATATTTCAGCTAGAGGTAGAACGTCGACAGTACCAGTTGTGATATCAGCACGAAGGTACCACACATAGTGACAGTCATCCCAAAGAGTAAGCCTGTCACGCACAGTGAGTCTGGAGCTGAACTCCTCCTACGTTCACCTGTCCCGGGTCTCCCTGCTTGAACCTTGCTGAGGCAGCGTCGAAGAGCCTTGCTAAATATTTTCTTGACCCGTCTCGTGAGGACGGGGAAAATGCTGAGAAAATGAAGCTGCGGAACCCATGAGGTGGCCGCACCATCCTTCAGGGTATGGAGGAACCAGACCGTGACAACCGGGAGAGAGAGGGCTGCATGTACTGGAGTGACTGGGTGTTATCCTTGAAAAGCAGCGAGAATCAGTCACAATCTGAGCTGCCCAAACTGGACCCTGACAAAAACAAGCCCCGTTTGTGTGACTTCAAGGAGACTGAGTACACGGGGACAAGCAGGTGAAACCCATCAAAGAACTGGGTGAGCCCCATAACTGTCGTGTGCATGGTGGGAGCTCCCTGACTTGGGCATGACAGGAGAGCTGTGGTAAGCACAGCCTAAGAGGCAGTGATGATGGACCTAAGCCACAGGCTGGCTCCCCAGAGCAGCCTGCGTGACTCCCTTGGCCCCCAGAGCAGTGTATACATGTTGGGGTGACTTTTGCCTCTTCTATGAGTGGGACCAAAACATCCACTTGAATTCTTTCATTTGTATCATTCCTTCAAGTGAAGTAATTTGGTACCCACCCCCTGACAAGACAAAACAAAAAACAAAACGGTGAGTGCTACCTGCCATCAAAGAAGAAGAACTTGCCCCGTCCGTTTTTTTCTCCGTGAACAAAGTTCCCCTCAAATCTGTCCGTGGAGGAGTAGGTGACCGTGCAGAAGCCGTGTGGTAATCCATCATCATCCAGGTGCCCTGGAGAAAGGGAACCACAAGGCAAACCTTAACATCTTCAACGCGCTCCCACCGACACGTCTGTGTTCAGATCCTGCCTGCAAGTTCCCTGAGCCACCAAAGCCCCCCCTTCCCCCCCCGCCCGTCTCAGGGGAGAGCACCTGCCAAGGGTTCTGTGCCTGCAACAGCAGTATCAACTTGTGTGTTATGTATACTTTGTGAACGGACGGGGGCCACAGTAGAGGGACTTAAACACATTTCAGACTAGGGACCAAAAATGAGCTTGCATTTTACTGGGAACTACAAGTTATTACCAATAATAACATCTGCATGTTTCCATTTACCAAGTACTTCCCTACGTGGCACTGCTCATATTTGGAATCAATGCCCCCAACTCTCTTGCTTAATTGAAATGTGATTGAGATAGCACCATTTTATAGTCTATTGTAAGGTACTTTGTCTTTGCAGTAAGTTATCTAGTTGTAGAACTCAGTATACAATATGATTTTATAAATCATTATATAGTATGATGTGGAGGACTGCGAGCCGGGTGACTTTTGAAAACCTTACTGCTCGCTCTGTATGCTCACACAACAAGGGACATAGCCACGTCTCTGAAACTGCCCTAATATTTATACACCTCACACTGTACTAACACATGAACTCATAGTCCTTCTAAGCCTGAACTTAAGCTTAACCTTGAACTTACTGCTTTCCTTTACAATGTCTTTCAGCCTTGAATGTTTAGTAATAACCTTGTCATATACCCTCTACCACTACGTTCAGAGGGTTTGTGCTTTAACGCAGCTGCAAGTATCCACGTGGCCATTTCAACAGTGATTTTGAACATCAGCAGCTCTTATTATACTGTGATCTTTAAACTGCTGGTTCTTCCTGGGTCACAGACCGGTATATTCCCATATTTATGTTTACAGTCAATATTTAGGTTTTTATTATTACCTACATATTTCACAAAACCCAGAAGTCACCTCATTGGTATCTCCCCCAATTATTCTGGTGAGCTAATTTTATGGTGGTGGGTGAAAATGAAGGCAGTAGTTAATCTCTTGGCTTTTTCCTGGGTTAACGACCTGGGTCATGGATGAAAAAGGTATGAAAGCATTAAACACGGTGTGCAATGCAGGAACATTAAACACTTAAATGGGGCTTCCAGATGGCTCACAGACATAAAGGAAAACACAAACCATATCACCACAATGAATGCTTTAGTCTCCTAAAACGGTTTCTTCTAACATGATTAAAAAAAAAAAAAAATCATCCTTTAGAAGAGAGGTTAAGTAAGTGTTATTATGAACAAAAAAGCTCTTTATTTGTGTTATTGATTACATAAACATAAAATAACAATGAGCAAATACACTATTTTATTGCTACATCTGACTCTGTATAGATTGAATTACCTAGAATATTACAATAAAACATGACTACTTAAATCACAATCAATATGGTTCCTTTCCTCTTAACGCAAATTTTTTTCTACAAAGGGCCAGGAAATTAATGGTTAGAAAGCAACTAGGCCATAATTGCTTTCTTCTCACTCAAAAACTAACTATTCGTGGCATATTCAATGATACTTGAGTCATATGAAATAATTTGGACAATTATTTTCTAAAAAAAAACCGGTGACATTTCTCTCATTGAAATAAATTAAATACACCTTTTTTCTTTTCATAAAAAAACCCACCCCGTGTATAGCTAAAAGCTTGCTTTTATGAAATGTTGGGATTAACATTTCTATGAATTTAGCATTCTACTTAGAATTTAGGTATAAATATCAGAATAATCATTTTAGCCTTATTTTGAAGCGCTCACTAATTAGTTGAAAGTGCTTTCCCCACAGAAAACAGTTCACATATTTCAGACTTGAAAAAGTTCAAATTTGATGAAATTTTTTATTGTACTTTAGATCAAGAGAACTATTATGGTAAACATGAGCACTAAGGGGAAAAAATCCAGTGTAGAAATTTCAATTCCACCCTCCCTCATTCACAACAGTCCCGTCCTATTTCTGAATAAAACATTGCAGGTGCATCCCCAGCAGTGGAAAATTAGAGAAAATTTAAAGTGTCATGTGGACACTTAGCATGGAACATGCTAAAAGCACCTGAAGGACAGCACTGATCCCAACTGAGATGAAAGCAAAAACGTCAATCCCATTCCATGAAGGATGCTTGTGTCAAGGGGTCTTTCAACAGGCCAGTGAAGAGTTGTCCCATCACTTTCTTAGTCTCTAGTGAGAGAGGCACAGAGAAAGCGAGCTATTTCTTGGGTGACACTCTGTGTTTGGAAAGATGCAGATGTGTGTTTTTCCCCTCTCCCTCTATCAGTCCACAGCAGGCCCCTCTTGTTGGCTTGTTTGTTTTGTTTTCCTCTCATCTTTCCAAAAGGAGGACGATTTTATCAATTAACAGGATCAATTAAAAAGAGCAAGAAATTAAGGGCTGTGATCATTCGAGAATTCTACCCTGAATATTTAATAGCCTGGAGTGGTTTTCCTAGCAGTAGAACCTTGTATCTACAACAACCAAAGCAATAACAACAACAAAGAGACTTTCCAAAGAAAGCAACGTAGGGAAGATAAGAGATTAGGTTGTTATGCCTTCACACCTCCTTTCAACATTAGTGCCTCTATAGATGATCTTCTGGTATAGCTCTTGTTCAGACACCACGTGGATAATAGCATCATGGAGTAGTTGTCTGGTCAGTATTAGTCACTTAATACTGCTGCTATACGGAGAAGAAAAACGTCTGCATACCTATTAGGCATCTGGCAATGGATAATATCCTTTCCTGTTCTCTCAAGTAAACCTCACAACAAGCCCCCACATTCCAAGCTTATTTCCTCATCTGAGGAAGCCCACGCCTCGCACCCAAGAAACACATTAGCCACTCTGAACGTGCTAATGAATACTGAAAGCCCCTTCCCCAATTCTTTCAATCTTTTTCTCTCCAGGTAAGGGCAAAGTAGCAGCATACCCTTTCTTCCCTGCTGCTGATGGAAGAAGGTGTCGCTAAAGAGAGAGGTATCCTGGGGACCCAGGAAGAGAAGTGGAAGAAGGCTTTGGAGTTAAGGTAGTTCTCAAAAAGCCACCAGGATCTCCAACGCAGATTCCTATCCCTTCCAAGTGTTACCTAACTCCAAGAGAAACACTAGTCCTCCTTGCTTTGATTGAGGTCAGTTTGTAAAACGCTCCAAGTCAGCCAACAGCCTTCTGGGCCAGTTCCCACTAAACAGAGGTTGAACACCACTCAAACAACAGGAAAATTCACTTGAATGACTGTTCGGTGTTGATAATGCTGTCCCAGAAAAAAAACCATAGATCGGTCCCCAGCGTTTTTTTAAATATTTACAGAGGTTAGAGAAGGAAAAAAAAGTAACAGTCTCATACCTTTATTTTTTCACTTTGTTCTAATTTTTTTTATCTGTTGAACAGATAGCAAGTTAAAACTTCCCCCTCGAGTTACCTCTGAACTTTTTTTCTTAACCTGATGAGAGCCAGGCCTGTATTCTGCGCAGCGCTGGTCCATTTCGGAAGGAAATTCCCTCTGGGTCAGACACCCGGCTGCTGACTGCCTCAGGCTTACCCACAGGAGATCTGAGTAGGGCCTGTGTGTGTGTGTTTGTGTGTGTGTGTGGTGTGTTTCCTTCAGAACAAGAGACCCTTACATGCATTGTTGCTTTTATGGAATAGAGCTGCTTAAAAAAGTAATAATAATAAAAGGCAAACTGATTCTGTCTAGTGCAAAGAACATGCCCTCACAATGATGCATTTACACTGGTTGTTAAAAACATACTTTCATTTTTGAGAGTAATTCTTTGTGAGAGCTCAATTATTAGTTGTGAGGGTAATAATTTTAGTGCGTGGCCCACAGGGAGGGGGTGGTACCTGTGCACTTAGCATGCATTTTTTCCAAAGTACAGAGCACGAGCCAGCCTTGTTAGAGACAGGCAGGATAAGATATTAGGGGGACTTAACAATATTTTTAATATTTTGAGGAGCTTGGGGTAGTGGAAAACTGATTTGTTTGTTTTCATTCTGGCTCCTTATTTCCAGACATTCTGATATCTTTTTTTTTTTTTTTGAGTAGCTTTCCTCAGCGTCTCCTATATTTTTCCAAGCCTTTCCATTTTCTCTTGCCTGCTTAACCACATATCTGGATTACTTCAAAGAACCTTCTCGGTGATCCCTTATCCTGCTCACCATTGCTGGCTCATCTTCCCAGAACAGAGCTCTGATCCTGTCATTCCCAGCTCTAAAAAGCCCCCGTGGCCTCCCATCGCTTTCAGTACACAATCCACATTTTCAGCCTGTGACACGGCCTCTTCCCGTCTAACCCTCCACTTTTCTCCTAGGCCCTCTGTTCCGGCAGAACCAAGTGATTAGTCTCTGAATGTGCCTCCATAACGACAAGGTGCCAACCTCTGTGTTCACTCACTGAGGCCCCATCTCAACTAGAATCAACTCCATACCACCTCTTCTGGGAAATCTTTCTCCATCCCCTCCCCAAGCTGGAAGTAATTTTTACTTCCTCTCAACCACCATAATTCATCTGTTTGGATCTGACAGACCTATTTAAAATTATAGTAGGGACGCCATTGTATTCATTTTTGTTATCTGTGGGTAGACAAAGCAATAAATCTAGTAATAAACACCACTTCCTCCTGAACCAATGAGCCTGGAAGAGTTTTTAAAAAGCCACAGCAGGATCTCAGGTGGCTTTCTCAGGCCCTCTGAGGCCCAGGGCTTGCTGCCTTCCCCAACAAGCACAGCGAGCAGGAGGAAACAGTTACTCCCTCCACTGTCCACCTCCCCTCGGGATTCATCCACTCAGAGCCTAGAACTTCACCCAGGCTACGGTTCCACCCTGACAGAGAACTAACATTTCAACTCTAGTCCTGCAAAGACCAATTTCTTCCCCAGGGTAATTTGCTAAGGAGGAAGAAAAAGAGGAAAAGGGATGTCTGTTGGAGAGGCTGTAAGCTAAATTCTCTTTCCCCAAATACATTTTTCTGACAGTCACTTAACTGTCAGAATCAAACTCTAGAGCGATAAAGACTGATACTGACACAGTACTTAAAAAAAAAAAACAAACTCAGTTACCAAGTATTTCATATATTTGATGGACTCACTAAAAATTAAAAAAAAAATAGGAAAAATGTAGGGAGACAGTCTGGTATGGTGGAATGAGGTTCTGGAGGTCTAAGCCTGTCCCCTACCTCACTGAGTGTCCCTGGATTCGTTCTTAACTCTTCCGTGCCTCAGTGCCCTCCCCTGTAAAATTAGGATAATATGAGGGCCCACCTCATAAGACTGAGTGGATAATGTGTATATGAAACATTTAGCCCACAGCCTGAACACAGTAAGAACTAAACAATTATAGCAGTGATCATAGTAGTGAAGACAACCGAACTGCGGAGACCAGAGGCTCTGTTTATGGAGAGAGGTAGGTGATACTTCAACACCAAGATATTCAAACTAGCTTTTCACCAGTCTCCCAAGGACATGTTAGATGATAAGCAAAGACTGTTACAGGACAGCAGTAGAAAGGCCAACAATGGCTGGAGAAAAGCCCACTGGTACAGTTCACTTCGTGTACACACACATGCTCTAGACACTGAGTTTGAGCCTTAGATGCTTTTAAAGACTCTAAAAGAGTCTGTGCTACTCTTGTTTACTGTCAGGTACAAGTGAGTGCCCATGTGTCCTGGATTGCCCCCAAACACTGATGGCTTAAACTAGTTGTGCCAGCATGAGTATTAATAGTGACCTCTCTCACTCTCACGCATATTCTGATTTGGGACAATAATGTATATGGTTTGCCCTATATAACAGTTTCTTCCTTGTTTGTATAAAGAACTATCCAGTGGACAACCTCAAAAACAACAGACATATTTCTAAAGCTGCTTGTTCACATTCTGCAAGGAACCCAAGGATCATGGACAACGGGGCCTTAGGTTTCTAAACAGCTTCAAAAAGGAATGTGGTTTTAACCTGAGGAGCACCGCCTGTGATCAAAGGTTTGCATTAAATTTTTACAAATAAATTTTTACAAATAAAAGTAAACTCTGAAGAATGAGAACAAGCCCTAACAATTTGAAAAGAGCACATTTTTCATTTATTTTTCATAACACGAAGGCAAAAGTCAATAATTTAAATTAAAAAAAAGCTTCCAATGGGCCCTCTCAATCACTGTCTTTGGGGTCCCCAGAAGCCCCCAAATTTGCTTATTAGATAAACAGTTCTGTGAATTCACAACACTGTGAAATTAAAACCATCACCACCACCAACTCTTTGAAGCTGGATAGAGAAATAAGAAGTTTTAACAGTTATATCAGGATGGATATCTTCCAGAGAATTCAGAATTATTATTATGCTTAATCTCACCGTAAGACCTCAAGATCACTGCAAAAGGAGTCAATTATGTTTTATAAAAACTGATTTCTTCTCCCAATGTAGCAATAACTATATATCCTTATGCATTTGCACAGTGTTGCTACTTTACTTTGCTTTACCTTTTATAACCGCTGGTTTATACAAATTAGATAGAAACCAGCTTCAACCAAAAGCTTAACATTATTTACTTTTTGAAGCTTGGTTTTAAAATATTCTGGAATACCACACAACATTGCAAAACATCACGACGTACTGTCTGCGGTGGAATCAAATAAGTAAACACGCTAAGGAGTATTTTCCAGTATTCACTGTTACAAAATCATAACATCTCCTGATACAAACAACTAGATTGTATAACTTCCCCACCTCGCTTTTTAGAACTAGCAAAAAAAGAGGTGGAGAAACTCAGCAAAACAAAGTGGCGAGAAAAGTCGGGGGAGGGGCGCTAGAAGAGAAGGGGCGGAGAAACACGACACCGAGGCGGTGATATCACCCACAGCCAACGGCATGGAATTCAGAAAGTTAAGTGTCACCCAGCAATTTCGGTCAGGGCTTGCGGCGCGCCTGCACAGCGTGGCGGCGGCGGCACCCGAGCTCGGAAGCAGGAAGGGGGAGGGGCGGTTTGCCAGAGTTCGCTCGGGGGCAGCAGAGGGGAAGGCCACCGCCTCCCGGGCGGTGTGCGTTCAAGCCCCGGGTCGGGAGCATGGTGCGTTGCCCTGCAATGATTTCATCTTTTCGGAAGAGCGGCCGCTGCGGCCGCGGCTGCCACGTGCCTGAGTCGGCCCCGTGTGCTGCGCCGGGGGACAGACCCGGACGCGGCCGCGGTCACCGCAGGTCGCAGCGGCGAGCGGAAGGAAAGGGCTGGCAGCCGGAGAGGGGCTCGGGTTGCCAAAACCGGGCGGGGGGATCGCTCCGCCGAGACTGCCGGTCTCGGGGGGCTGTCCTCCTGCGCACCCCCACCTTCCATCCCCGAAAGCAGGGAGGCCAGAGTGCGGGGCAGGTTCGCAACTCCGAGGGCGGATGCAGGCTGTGGCCCCGCGGGCTGGAGCGGCCGGACCCTCCCGGGGGCCCCGGCCCGGCAGAACCCCGTTCCCGGCCTGCGCCCCACCGCGCAGTGCGCGCTCCCGGCGGCGTGGCCGTGGCCGCCCGGCCCGTGCCCGAGCCGATCAGCGGGCCACCCGCGTAGGGGACAGTGGCGGCCGCGGGGCCCGGCGCCGCGCGGGTCGCAGCCCGCCACTCCTTCCGCGTTCCAAGCCCTCGGCGCCTCCTCCCCCAGCCCCAGAGAAACGCTGTACCTTCCACCGCCTCCTCCACCATCTCGTCGTCGCTATCCATGGCGGCTGGGGACCGTGCCCAGCTCGGGGCCGCGCGGCTGCCTCCCGTCCGTCCGGGTGCTCCCGGCGGCTGAGCGAGCGCTGGGGCTGAACCCTGCGAGTTTGGAGGAGGAGGAGGAAGAGGAGGGGCAGTCGGGGCTGGTTCGCACTGCCTCCCCCTACAGCCCTTTCAATTCCTTGGTCTTAAGCTGCTGCGGCAGCAGCCGTCCCCCCGCTCCTCCCTTCGCCCGCTGGCCCCTCGTCTCCGAGGCTCCGGGGTGCCGCCGTGGCCGCCGCCGCCGCCGCAACTTTCTCCTGTAATACCCCCTCTTTGTTATCGAGCAGATGATCCGCTGACATCACCCAGCGCCGGTGCGCTCCCTCCCTCGCTGATTGACAGTTCCCTGTCCCTTCCCAGAAGTAAGGCTCCTTAAAACGAAAGGCGCTCCCGGTCCGCGCTGACTCTGCGCCCCAGCCAGCCAGTCCCCGGGCCCATCAGGGTTTATCTTTTGCTTCTGCTCGGCTCGGTGCGCTTCGAGCGCGCCACGCGGTCCTGTGCACCCGGCTTCTCGTGGGGACTTGGGACCTCCGGGGTACCGCCCTCAGGGGGCTCAAAACTCCCGACCTCCTGCTGTGCCGGGGCAACTTGGAAGTCCGCCGTGCAGAGCCCTCCAGCCCCGCCTCGGGACAGCCTCCAAAGAGCAAGGGAAGCCAAGGCAGCGTTTCTGACGCTCCAGCACCTCAACTTCCTCTCGCCCTCGCCCCCACTTCACCCCGTTTGCCACCCGGAGCTGCACGAGTGCAGCACGCAGGGGAGCGCAGGTGTCCCTGCGTAGCCGCATCACATCCGCGAGCAGGTTTCCCGGACTCAAGGGGGTAACATCCAGCCCTGATTCCGCTGGACTGGGGCCCCCACCCCAGCGCGCCGAGTCCCCACCCTCCTCCGGACTGTCAGGCGGCTCGGGTGATTCAGAAATTCAGCAAATCCAAATGGCAGCGGGCTCGTTATCAGGCAGGAAACAAGCCGCACGGAAGGCCCGGCAGGTTCCTCCTCGCGGTTGCGGTAATGGAAAAGGAGCCACCGAGCGGAGCTAATGAGGAAGGACCCTCCGTCTGGCGCGCCTCCTTCTCGCGCCTTCCGCCCTGTACGTGTGATGCCCCAGTGCCTCCAAGTGCCAACCACTCCATAGATTCGGGCTCTTCAAGTGGAGAAAATCACGGGGCACCCAGTTCCCGGCCCAGCCACTTAGAATCATTATGGCATTGCCTCTTACAGGTGGCGGTAAAGGGCGGCTGTAAATAGCTGGTTAAATGGATGCAAATGTACACAATGTACCGTGGAATTACAGGGTGCTGCTCTGGGCATCTGCCAAGAACAGCTACTGCACGGGAGGAGGGGACAGGAGCGAGCAAAGAAAAGTTGTTCCATTTTGTTTTCCGAACAACGAATGAGACTTTGGGGATTTCAGAGTACTTCCAACACCCGGGCGACCACGCCTTGTTTTTGGCTTTGTGCTTAAGTGCTAGATATTTTTATCGAGTATTGTGAGTTTCTTCTTAAATTCAGTTTTTCCTTTGTGAAAAAAAGAACAATGTTAGGGACACTCGTTCCATACATTGCCAGGAATTTCAATTCCTTGTGACTGTTTTAGAAACAGAGGGAAGGGCTCTGGACCAGGAGTTAGGACACTAGGGTTCTGGTGCTGCTGACCTGCAGAAGGGCCCTGGGAGCCCCCCGCCCCCCCTTACCAGCCTGAATTCTTCCTGCAGGAGATAAGAGGCTTAGGCTAGACTACTCTGAGGTCCCCAGCTTAGGCTAAAGCACTCAGAGGTCCCTTGGCTTAGGTTAGACCACTCAGAGATCTCCCGGCTTAGGCTAGACCACTTTGAGTTCCTCCTGCTGAGGCTATACTGGTATAAGGTCCCTCCAGCTTAGTCTAGGCCACTCAGCGGTCTGCCATCCTAGGCTTGACCACTCTGAGGTCCCCCCCTGGCTGAAGCTAGATTACTCTGAGGTCTCCTGGCTTAGACTACACCTCTCTGAAGTCTTCTGGCTTAAGTTTAACCTCCTGAAAGTCCTCCAGGGCTTTAAAGCTACACAGAGGTGTTGCTGCAGTGGAAGATGAAAGAGCCACTCCGGGTTACATCATTTTCAAACATGAACCATAGTAAGAGGAGTTTATTTCTGATTTTTTAAAAAAGCTATCAGGTACTGAACTTGGTCACTCACTGGTTTTGAGTTATATGATATTTGTTCTTATTTCACCCTTTTAAACATAACATTTCCTCCCTTACGTATTATATGGATGCACAAAAACACACCAGATACTCATCTTCTCCAGTTTCCAGTTTACCAGGGGGCAAAAAAAGATGCTGAAAGCTATAGGAAGCAAAAATAATTTGTTCCTTTACTCAAAGGGAGCTAAAGCAGGGGACAGGTGGGTTGGAAGAAATTGCCTCTCACAACACACAGGTGGAACAACAGGTGATAAGTTTATGGCGAGCGGGTATGTGGTGGCATGGGGAGGAATCATGTCCCAAGTGTCCTGCCCCTAACTTTAGGTTCAGAGGAGGATGTCCAACTCTCCCCTGGTGCTGTGAGGTCCCACCCCCCCACTGTCAAGTGCTCACTTTCCACCTGCTACTTTGAAAGCACCTGGAACCCTGCCCACGGCCCCTGTCACTGAAGCAGGCCTTCTCTGGACTGTAAGGGTGGGGGTGGGGAGCACCAGGGCCTTCCTGTCAGAATGGGCAGTAGGGAGTGAAAGTTCCCTGAGAACCTTCCTCAGATTTGCACACGAGGCAGGCAGCAGCGGCGGGGACACAGCCGCAGGCCCCTTCCCCCTACCATTCATCCTTGCTGGCTCTGGGCCCAAAGTTTAGGCAAAATTGTTTTTATGGTTCCCTTAAGATACATTTACATTTTTACAAATCATTCCGTGTACGTTTTCGATCGTCTTCTCTAGACTGATTCTTATTTGTAGCTCCAGAACCCAACACGGTGCCTGGTACAGAGTGAAGGTTAAGCCTTGTCCGTGCTGATTTTGCAGAGGGGAATATTGTGTTTTATATAAACAGCGCTGAGTCTACCAGACTGGATCCTCTTCCTGTGTTTTGGCAAAGTGCTTTGTTTTAGCTCAAGTCTGAAGAGCGATTTTGAGTTGTTCTACTTTCCCACATCTACTGGCCCCAAATCTGCTTTCATCGCATTCTTTCCCACAGTTGCCTTCATTGAGAGCTCATGTCATAAACCCTCTTTGCACTTGGCTCCCCGCCATTCTCCTCTGTCGTACTCTGTCCCCACCAATGTGGTCACAGGCTAGAAAATCAATCAAGCTCTTAATCAGCATGTGCGGCGGTGGCAGCACGGCCCAGCTCCTCACTCAGCAGATCCAAGAGCACTGCCGCAGCGAGCCCCACCAGGAGGAGGGGGCTGCACAGGACCTCGGACAGCCAGGGCGGCAGGGGGGTGGGCGATGGCCTTCATGCTCACACCAAGACGTGACTTCTGAGCTGCTTGGTCTTGCTTCCTTGCATCCCAGGATATACACTTCTCTTCACACTCAGCTTGGGAAACGTAAGTCCCTCTGCCACTGCAGTGAGCAATAGCAATACTGAGTTATCTTCTTCATTTTACTGCCCCTGTTTTTCCCCCAGAGAAGGAAGGATGATACTTACAAGACTCAGAGAACTCTTGAGATCAATGTATTTTTAGAGGCATCTTGTATTTTATGCACCTTCCTACATTTAGGGGCGACAATTCTGTCAATTCATCTCTATGCACTAAATGAATTGTGAAAAACCTAGTGGATGGGGAGCTCATGCAGGATTCACTGGTGCTGGCTAGTGACCCCGACATAGGGACTCCGGGATGACTGATCCCTCATCCTGCCCTGCTGGTAGGTCTGGAGGGGCCCCTGGCAGTCTTCTGAGCCTCCATGATCCTGGAAGGCAGGAACGCCTCAGGTGTCTTGGAGGAACTGTGGCTGATATCCTGGCTCTGCTTTATTTGCTTATACGGCCAACAGGGAGACAAGAGCAGAATGGGTGAAGGAACTCTTAAATAACCAGCAAGTCTTAATTTGGCACTGCTCACCCCTTAACAAGATTTTTTCCCACCAAGTTCGCCAATTTGATTGAATTTTCACCCCATTTGTTTTATATCCTTCAAGAACTAGCCATGCAACTGGGCAATTAAGCTCTCTGGACCTTAGTTTTTCCATCTGTAAGTGGGCTCTAAAAATTCTTTTCCTGGGAGAAGTTAAATAGGGCATGAAGAGCCCCAGGGACATGCATAGAAAAGGGAAAGGGGAGGCAGCCAGGGCAACTCTCACAGACTGAATATTCAAGACCCAAGTCATCTCAACTTAACAGCACCGAGATCTGGGGGTGAGAGAGAGACCTTTATCTCAGTCTAGGAAGAGAGACCTGGGCCTTTCAGGAGAATCAAGGTGCTTGGATCCTGAATTACTGAGTCACTAATCAAGTGGCTGTGTTAGTGACACTGCAGAAGCTCTGGAGGGAGGGGCAGGGAGAGGAGCAGCAAGAAGGGTGTGGGGGAGGAGATGTGCATGAAAGGGAAGCATTTACAGCATGTGGTGCACAGCAAAGAGCAACGAGGAACATCAAGGGCACCACATAAAGGTCCGGGGAGCAAAGGAAGAGATGGCGAAAAATTCATCCTGCTGGAAATAGACATGACTGCAGTCATGAAGAGGACTCCCGAATTCCGGGTGACCTGATTTGATTATGGCAACAGGAAGTGCAGGATAGGGCAGAATAACCTGACCCGAGGAAGTGAATTGAATTTTTTTTTAGACATCATAGTTGCTATGGTATTAAAATACCTCGCATCACATTAAGCTTCTTTTTTTTTCTCTTTTGCTTGATTCTTGTTCTTGCAACATGTTAATGTCATTGCAGTATATCCAGTAAACTAAATTTAGATCTTTTGAGACATGGGGGAAGGGAAGAGGCAGCCCAGATCTCCCTATTTGGGTCCACTCTGGGCAAATATTCTTCCTCCCCAGTGTGCCTGGTTCTTTTGGTCCTTTCGTAAAAAAAAAAAAAAAAAAAAATCGGGCTTGAGTCTGGTGAAGCTGCTGAGTGACGTAATTAAAAAAAAAAAACAAAAAAAAGAAAAGTGGGAAACAATTTTCAAAGAGGCACCTGCTTTAGAAATTACTTCAGAAAAATCAGTAGGATGCCGAAATTTGAAAAACACAACTACCATCAAAACCAAATATATTTTCCTAGGTATTATTTGATTTTATTGCTTTAAAAATTATTTTACTTGGCTATAATTAAGACTCTTAGATCCTGCCATCATTCATATTCAAATGCTACCATGGCCAGGGGTGGGTGTGGTGTGTACTTTATTGACACTGCTGTATACTGAGTGAATAAAAGGGTATTTCCGGCTGACTTATTTACCACAGATGACACCACATTCATCGAGGCCCTGATCTTGCCCTTCCTTCAGTGGATTCACATGAATCAGACCTCAGAGACTGATGTATATACCCAAATGATGACCAACAGCCCAGAAAATTCACGTTGTCATGGCAAGCACAGTCTTCCTCTGTAGATAAATATACTTGAGAAGACAAATTCCATCCAAATGTTTGCTTAGTTAGCCTAAAGTTAGAATAAATGAGATTAGTTGTGTGGTCCTGAGGAGA